CAGCTTTAGGACAGAACATCCACAGATGTCTGACCACAGGAGAGCCATGGCAACATACTGACACAAATGACACCAAGATAAGATCATTAATACACTAACCTACAGGAGCACACCCCAACATTAGTAGGGAGAGGAAATACAAATAAGGAAGAGAGGAGAAACCCCTACTGAACATGCATTACACCTAGCGACATCAGTAGAACATATTATAGGCTACACAACCCAAGAAAAGGATCTGCATGTTGCTGTAGACAGGTCAATTAAAAGCTCCATTCAATGCTCAGCTGCCAGCAAAAAAGCTAACAACATGTTAGGATTCATAAGGAATTGGATGGAGAATAACTCCAAACATTTGTATATAAATCAAGGGAATTAAAACCAATAGTAAAAGGTTCTATAGCCATATGAATAAGAAGAAAACAAAGAAAGAAGAAGTGGGACTGCTAAACACTGAGGATGGAGTGCAGGCTAAGGATAATCTAGGCATGGCCCAATATCTAAACAAATACTTTGCCTCAGTCTTTAATGAGACTAATGAGGAGCTTAGGGATAATTGTAGGATGACAACTGGGAAGGAGGATATGGAGGTAGATATTACCACATCCGAGGAGAACCGAAACTCGAACAGCTTAATAGGACTGTCATAAATATAAAGGAAAGGGTAAACACCTTTAAAATCCCTCCTGGCCAGAGGAAAAATCCTCTCACCTGTAAAGAGTTAAGAAGCTAGGATAACCTCGCTGGCACCTGACCAAAATGACCAATGAGGAGACAAGATACTTTCAAAAGCTGGGAGGAGGGAGAAAAACAAAGGGTCTGTGGCTGTCTGGGTGATGCTTTTTGCCGGGGACAGAACAGGAATGGAGTCTTAGAATTTAGTAAGTAATCTAGCTACATATGCATTAGATTATGATTTCTTTAAATGGCTGAGAAAATAAGCTGTGCTGAATAGAATGGATATTCCTGTCTGTGTGTCTTTTTGTAACTTAAGGTTTTGCCTAGAGGGATTCTCTATGTTTTGAATCTAATTACCCTGTAAGGTATTTACCATCCTGATTTTACAGAGGTGATTCCTTTTTACTGTTTCTTCTATTAAAATTCTTCCTTTCAAGAACTGAATGTTTTTTTCATGGTTCTTAAGATCCAAGGGTTTGAGTCTGTGGTCACCTATGCAAATTGGTGAGGATTTTTACCAAACCTTCCCCAGGAAGTGGGGTATAAGGGTTGGGAGGATTTTGGGGGGGAAAAAACGTTTCCAAACAATGCTTTCCTAGTAAAATAAACGCGGACAAACGTTTGGTGGTGGCAGCGGAAGTCCAAGGGCAAAGGGTAAAATAGTTTGTACCTTGGGGAAGTTTTAACCTAAGCTGGTAAAAGTAAGCTTTTAGGAGGTTTTCATGCAGGTCCCCACATCTGTACCCTAGAGTTCAGAGTGGGGAAGGAACCTTGACAGGGACCAAATCCGGGGGCCCAGTAATCTTAATCCAAGAAGATTAAAAGGAACTGGCACATGAAATTGCAAGCCCATTAGCAAAGATTTTTAATGAATCTGTATACTCGGGGGTTGTACAGTATGACTGGAGAATTACTAACATAGTTCCTATTTTTAAGAAAAGGGGGGAAAAGTGATCAGGGTAACTACAGGTCTGTTAATTTGACAAGTAGTATCTGTCTGTAGTATGCAAGGTCTTGGAAAAAATTTTGAAGGAGAAAGTAGTTAAGGACACTGAGGTCAATGGTAATTGGGGGAAAAAATACAACATGGTTTTACAAAAGGTAGATCATGCCAAACCAACCTAATCTCCTTCTTCGAGAAGGTAACAGATTTTTTAGACAAAGGAAACACAATGGACCTAACTTACCTCCTTTTCGGGGGGAATTATTAGCTAAGCTGGAAAAGATGGGGATCAATATGAAAATTGAAAGGTGGATAAGGAACTGGTTAAAGGGAAGACTACAACAGGTCACACTGAAAGGAGGTTACTAGTTCCTCAGGGATCGGTTTTGGGACCAATCTTATTTGATCTTTTTATTACTGACCTTGGCACAAAAAGTGGGAATGTGCTAATAAAGTTTGTGGATGACACAAAGCTGGGAGGTATTGCCAATACAGTGAAGGACTGGGATATCATACAGGAAGATCTGGATAACCCTGTAAACTGGAATAATAGTAACAGTAACAGGATGAAATTTAATAGTGAAAAGTGCAAGGTCATGCATTTAGGGATTAATAACAAGAAGTTTTGTTATAAACTGGGGACACATCACTTGGAAGTAACAGGAGGAGAAGGACCTCAGAGTATTGGTTGATCATAAGATGACTATGAGCTGCCAATGTGAAATGGCTGTGAAAAAAGCGAATGCGGTCTTGGGATGCATCAGGCGAGGTATTTCCAGTAGAGATAAGGAGGTATTAGTACCATTATACAAGGCACAGGTGAGACCTCATCTGGAATATCGTGTGCAGTTCTGGTCTCCCATGTTTAAGAAGGATGAATTCAAACTGGAACAGGTACAGAGAAGGGCTACTAGGATGATCCGAGGAATGGAAAACCTGTCTTATGAAAGGAGACTCAAAAAGCTTGGCTTGTTTAGCCTAACCAAAAGAAGGCTGAGGGGAGATATGATGCTCCCTATAAATATATCAGAGGGATAAATACCACGGACGGAGAAGAATTATTTAAGCTCAGTACCAATGTGGACACAAGATCAAATGGATATAAACTGGCCATCAAGAAGTTTCGACTTGAAATTAGACAAAGGTTTCTAACCATCAGAGGAGCAAAGTTCTGGAACAGCCTTCCAAGGGAAGCAATGTGGGCAAAAGACCCATCTGGCTTCAAGACTAAGCTTGATAAGTTTATGGAAGGGATGATATGATGGGATAGCCTAATTGTGGCAATTAATTGATCTTCAACTATTAGCGGTAGATATGACCAGTAGCCTGTGATGGGATGTTAGATGGGGTGGGATCTGAGTTACTACAGAGACTTCTTTCCTGGGTGTCTGGCTGGTGAGTCTTGCCCACATGCTCAGGGTTTAGCCGATCGCCATATTTGGGATCAGGAAGGAATTTTCCTCCAGGGCAAATTGGCAGAGGCCCTGGTGGTTTTTCGCCTTCCTCCGCAGCGTGGGGCATGGGTCACTTGCTGGAGGATTCTCTGCACCTCAAAGTCTTTAAACCACAATTTGAGGACTTCCATAGCTCAGACATAGATTAGAGGTTTGTTACAGGAGTGGGTGGGTGAGATTCTGTGGCCTACATTGTGCAGGAGGTCAGACTAGATGATCATAATGGTCCTTTCTGACCTTAAAGTCTATGATTCTATGATTCAAAGGGGACAGCCTCTAATATCCTGGGACCACCATGGCTACTACAGCACTGCACACAGAATATTTTATATCTATCTTTGAGAACTGGGGAAGAAATAGGTCTGAAAAGAAATATTTGATAATGAGAGAAAAACACCTGGATCTGAAGAGTTTATAGTAAGTGAGTGAGAGTAGTTGGACAGTTTGACTGGATTGTATATGGAAGTTCAATAAACAGACAGTAATAATTTCCCCCACACACCCACACCATTCACATGGCAGCAGGGAGCCCCTTGGGGAGGTGCTTTAAGAGAGTATGTGAGGGTAATATGGAGCAGGAAAACTCCCTGGCAGTAGGTAGGAGGCAGCAGCAGGGGCAGGCAGGTGACTGGCACCTGGGGGGAGCTGTGTTGGGCAGTTGGGGGTAGCAGTAGCCAGAACTGTGTAACCTTGGGCTGGACAGTCTCCACTGGGGACTTTTTCCTCCCATCCCCTTCCTTGCCTTGTTGCTGGCAGAGAATGGCCACCCCATCCCACCCCAGAGGCAGCTGTGCAGCTTGCAGAGCCCTTAAGCCCCTTCTCGTTTGGGGAATGATTCAGGACAATTTCCCAAAGAAAGAAAGAAAGAAAGAAAGAAAGAAAAAAAATTGCTGCAGGTCAAACAGGTGGGAAAATATCCCAAATCTGAGATTGTTAAATTAACATTGGAGAATTAAAGAGAAAATGGGGCAAACTCTGAAAAGGAGAATAGAGAAAGTGTCGATAATTGCTCCATCAGCACTGACCCTTCATGGAGCCATTGCTGCTTTTACACCTGAAAGGAGACTTCCTTTCTCTGACTCCTGCCCATGGGGCCATGGTCGGATGTGGTGACCCAGAGAAGCTGACTTGAGGCTGATGCAAGGTAAGCAAAACCGAACCAGCCTCCCAGGGAAGGGGTTGGAAGCTGGGGGGGGGCTGGGTTCCCCTACATGAGTGGTTCTCAACCTGGGGTACATGTACACCTGGGGGTACACAGAGGTCTTCCAGGGGGTCCTTTAACTCCTCTAGATAATTGCCTAATTTTACCACAGGCTCCAGAAAAAGCACCCGTGAAGTCAGTACAAACTACATCCCCACACAGACAGCGACTTGGGCCCACGGCTCCATGCTGCGGGCCCTGACAGGGACTTGGGGGGTTTCATTCCCCGTTGATGTATTTGCTAATTCTCGGGTATAAGGAGACCGTCCCCAGCCAGGCGCAGTCCCAGGGCGCAGGGACACGCGGCTGTTTCTGGATCGGACCCGCAAGCGGTCCGCTGCCCGGCACCAGCCCCTGAAGTCGCCCTTGGGCACGAGAACCCCCCCGACCCCTCCCTATTGCCCGAGGCGAGAAGGAGGGGGCTGGTCTGGGTCTCCCTGGTTACGGGGGGGGCAGTCGGACCCGGGGGGCAGTTCCGAGGGACGCTGCCCGGACCGCGGGGAGCAGTAGGGCCGGGCCGAGGCTCCCCCGCAGCGCAGCGGCCCGGCCGAGAGGCGGGGCCCCCAGGGACCAAGCCGCGGCTCCGGGACACGAGAGTTCGCGTTCGGAGCCCTGGAGGCCGGCGCCGGCCGGGGCGGGGCGCAGGGCCTGGGGGGGTCTCTGGGTGGCAGGGGAGAGGGGACGAGAAGTTGCGTGAGTGTGAGGGGGTGTCCGGCTGACCCCTTACCTGAGCTGGAGACGACGGAAGCGCCCCGGGGCAGGCTGGGACTTGTAGTTCCTGACTCTTCTCGGAGCGGAAGGAAGGAGCCGGTTCCTCAGGCAAGGCGCGCGCCCAAAGCGCGGGAAGCGGAAGCGGAAGTGGGCCATCTGCCCACGCGCCCCCTGCCTATCCACACCGGGAAGCGCAGTCTCTCTCTCGAGCTCGGCCTTCTATTGGAGGAAGGACCGTAAACGCGTCAATTCGCTGCGCCCTCCCCGCTTCCTGATTGGCGGAGAGACGGCGCGGCAGCGCCGGGCGGGCAGGCCAGAGGTTCCGCCCGGACTCGGGGACTGCAGGCCTCGCCGCCCTTGGGGTCCGCTGCGGGCGGGACAGTCTGCGGGTCCTGTCGCGGCGCGCGCTGCGGCCGTTGGGCTGGAGCCGTTGGGCTCCGCGGCGCAGCTTGGAACCCTGCTGGCACCCGGAGGCGGCCCCGGCCCCCGCCCCCGCCCCGTGGGCCCCGGGGGGGGGTGCTGATCAGTCCCCGGCCGGAGGGAGACTCGCGCCCCGGCGCTGCTGCGGGTGGCGGCCGACGGTGAAGGGCGGGTCCCAGCTGCACAGACTCGGTGCCCAGGACAGGGGGGCAGCCAGCGCCGAGCTCGCAGGGACGCGGCAGGGCCGGGGTCTCGGTGCGTTTGGGATGCTGGTGCTGGCCAGTGGAAATGCTGCGGACAGTGAGCGGTGAGGCAAAGGAGGGGACGGTGAGGGGCAGCTCCGCACAGGCCCGGGGTGTTCAGACACCCAGTTCTAGGCACCCTGGAGCATGTTAGAGACAAAAGGCAAACAAGGACCCAGCCCCCTGCAATGTCCCTCTCCTGGGATCAGACCCCCTGGGCACACAGGAGCCAAGTTGGGCATGGGGTGACGGGTCCCACAAGGCAGAGGCAGCTGAAGTCCCTCCCAGTTTTGGAAACTAGGCAATGCGGAGTGACAGGGCTTCACGCACCACCCAGCTTGGCCTCGGGGGCATCAGCAGCAAGTGGGGTCTGGGACTGAGCTGCATGGGCACCACAAAAGGCAGGCTGTTACCAAGGGGCCTGGGGGATATCTCAGTCCCTCTTTTGTAGATACAGTGAATGCAGCCTCCATTCCTGGGTCTTCCCCAGGGACAGAATATTTATTTGAAAACTAAATCTTTAGTTGTAAGGCAGTGGTCTCCAACCTTTTTATTCAAAAGGCCACTTTTTGAACTTAAGATCAACCCAGGATCTACCTAGCCTCTTCCCCAAGGCCCCGCCCTGCTCACTCCATTCCCCCCTCCCTCTGTCACTTGCTCTCCCGCACCCTCACTCTCTGTCACCAGGCTGGGGCAGAGGGTTGGGGTGCTGGAGTGAGGGGGTGCAGGTGTGACAGATTTTTGTTACCAATCTGCCTGAGGTATCAGGTGATCAGGCTGAGGCCACAGGATCATTGGGGGTGGGGAGAAGATGACGGAGCACATCAAGCAACTGAGTTTTAAAGCTTTATTGATAAAATAATAAAATAACAGCAGAGAGTGCTGGGCGGGGGGGTTCCCCACGTCACTCAGAGAAAGGAAGAAAGCCCCAAACCCTAACTCACTTTCATACTCACACACGCACTTCCCGAAGCTGGCCAGGCCTGGGTGTAACGTAAGAAGAAGAGGGGGAAGGGTGGATGGGAGTTCTGTCCTGTGTGCACAAGTCATCCAGGGTTCACTGTGATCTCTGAATTATTCCAGCTCTCAGGAGGGTTTTAAGTCCTGGGGTCCTTTGTGGGTATTCCATGCCATGACCTCTGTTTCTGGTGCTCTTTGTGCAGTCCAAACTGTTTTGCCTGTGTTTTTTATTTTTGCAGCCCTGGTTTTCTCTGCCCTGGCTGTGGCTGGGTGAGAGAGAAACTTCTTGTCTGGTGCCGTGACCTTGGACTGGGGCCAGCGTCTTATTGTTGGACTGAGCTTGCTAGCTGCACTGTTGAGTTAACCCGTTCTCTGCTCTCTTTTTCTTCCCCCTTTGGCCTCTTGCAGCCTGCAAAAGTATTTTCCACTCCCCACTCACACCTTTACCCTCCCCAAAATGCTTTGCAATGCTTACAACAGTGTTAGCAACATGCAGTACTGATCTGCCTTCCCCAGAGAAACCCCTGAGGTCATGACATTCCCCTCCTTGACCTCGAATCAACATATTGTTGTGGGGGGTCACCACTTAGATTTCCACCATCCCTCTGACACGGTGGCTAGCCAGTCTAGACTCCTCTTTGGAACCCCTTTCAGTTGGGCACCTATCCCCCCCTTCTCTTCCCCCCCCCCCCCCCCCCCCCCAAACCCCATTTCCTCCCAATTTCAAACCTCTCCAATTTACTCTACATAAACAGCAATATAGCAGAAACAAGATTGTTAGGGTGGCAACAATTGCATACATAGCCAGTAGTGGCTTCTGGCTGCAGTAGTAACATAACACATCCCCCTGTTGACATAAATGTCCTGTCCGAATGGCTGTGACAAAGGCAGCTTTCTCCAGATTAAACGTGTATTGCAACACCATAAAGGAGGAGGCATCTGTTTGGAATACGGTCAGTTGTTCACGGGTGTACATTAAGGGCAGGAAAACATTGGGTGCAATCCATGAAAACTTAAACACAACATAGTTAGAGATATTAGCCGTGCTTTGCATAACTGCGGGCCAATGCACAGAAAAATTTTGCGCCTGAGTCTGTAACAGCAAGTTAAGGAGCACCTTAGGGTCGGTGGTTCTTTAAACACACGCAGAGGTATTGGTAAACACATGGGCCTTAGTGGGGGCATATCCCGATGCCTCCCTTTCCCAGCAGATGTGTTGACCCACTTCATAAAAGCAGCCTGGCATTACCTTTTTTAACACATTATTTGAGGGGGCTTCATAGGCCATAATTGTCAGGTGTTGCCCTTTGCAATTTATACATGCTGATGGTTAGTGGCCGTGGTCAGCACATATCGCTTAATTGTGTTATTGGGGGGAGCCACCTCCCACATGTCACGATGGACCACCCAATCCCAGATAATATGGTGATGCCACATTCCCAGGATGCTAAGCCACAATTGCCCCTCCCCCCCTCCAATGAATAATTGACCTTTTATTTTTTTCGCCACTATGGTCAATTCTGAACAGTGGTAAAAGTAACAAAGGAGGCCCAAAACATTGGGAACCCAAGGATTCCCAAAGAGAAACACCACCATACCTACATTGTTTTTCCCTGACAAATTTTGCAGGCTTAAATCAGCAAGAGCGGTCCCACCACTCCTGTTTGGGGTGTCCCTGGGCTGTCGCTATTACTGCCTTGTCCTGTTATCAAAGGAAAAGGGGAAAAAAGCAACAACATAAATGCACCTATTGGGGAAACTGAGGCACATACAAAAACTCTTTAAATTATTAGTTGTCCCATTCCAGCCCTCCCTGGCTTTTGTCATGGATGTTGTTTGCCTGGTTTAGGAGGTTACAACAACAATACTACATCCTGAGATCAGTAATTGCTATTGCTTGCCAAAGGATTTTTCATTTTACTTTTACTCCAGGCCACCACAGGAGGAACAGGGTTTGTCCTGGATTCCGGGGAGGTTCAGGGCCACTCACTGGGTATTTTCCTGTGGCCCTGCTGTGTCTATCCAGACTATGCACTGTCTCCAAGGCACCTCCCCTCCCGCCTCCCACCACATTGTGGCTTGGGCCGCTTTGGCTGCTCGAGCTAGGGAGAGTCTTTGGAGGTATTTTTTTTTCCTTTTAATTATGATTATCCAGAAAATTCCATGGACAGCTGGAAACTCGGATGGTCCAGGCAGGTGGCTGGTCCACAACCGAGGCCCACAACGCCATGACCAGAAACCTAGGGAGATTGGCATGTGCCCATTTTAATTTGCTTGGTAGCTGAAGCTGGTACACTGCCGGAGAGATGTGATTCACAATGGGGTATGGACCCACCCACTTGGCGTCCAGAGTGTGGGCCCCTTTCCCAGCTTTTGCAACATTACCTTGTCTTCAATTTTCCATCCCCGGATGTCTTTAATGATGATCCCCTTGCACTTGGCCTTTTTCTCATTTAAAGCGGCCTCTGAGGCTTTGCGGGTTTTATATAGCTCCTACCTCAACCGGGCAAAGCTTGAGATTTTTTTGATTGTGGCAAATAGTAAATGTGATTATTGGTAAACACAGTAATTACATTACATTTACATGTGTCTACTAGCAGATTGCTAACACTTTTTTTTAAAAAACACTTTTTTCCAGGAATTAACACATACACATTGCCCATTATACAGTACTTTGGTTTTATTATTTAATTTATCCCACATACAGGATTCTAGTGAAATGTCTGTATTACAAGAGTCTGGAGCAACAGGCAAGAACAAGCACACCCACTTTTGAGGAGTTCACTTGGTACAATCTCTGGTGTCCAATAGCTTCCCTCCCTCCCCAGCCCACTGGCTCGAGGTCTGGAGTAGCCAGAAAGATTCCATGTGCCATATGAGCAGTGGGCTAACTTTTTATATCCTTGCTTCCAGAGCTTGTTGGTGTGCATTTTTAACAACAATTTTCCCAATTAAAAGGTCTGGCCTTACTATGCCAGAAACATACTGCATCCATTCATATTAAAAAGTATTGAACAGTGATTTTTTTTTTTTTTTTTTTTTGCTTTAGCAAGTTGTCATAAATATAAAGGGAAGGGTAAACCCATTTAAAATCCCTCCTGGCCAGAGGAAAAATCCTCTCACCAGTAAAGGGTTAAAAAGCTAAAGGTAACCTTGCTGGCACCTAACCAAAATGACCAATGAGGAGACAAGATACTTTCAAAAGCTGGGAGGAGGGAGAAAAACAAAGGGTCTGGGTCTGTCTGGGTGATGCTTTTGCCGGAGACAGATCAGGAATGGAGTATTAGAACTTAGTAAGTAATCTAGCTAGGTATGTGTTAGATTGTAATTTCTTTAAATGGCTGAGAAAATAGCTGCACTGAATAGAATGACTATTCCTGTCTGTGTGTCTTTTTTGTAACGTAAGGTTTTGCCTAGAGGGATTCTCTATGTTTTGAATCTAATTACCCTGTAAGGTATCTACCATCCTGATTTTACAGAGGTGATTCTTTTCCTTTTACTTCTATAAAAAGTCTTCTTGTAA